GTTGAATGAATAAGTGAGTGAAAGCTAATATGGGAAATACCAAAGAAGAATATCCTATTTTCACATATCAAGATAAGATACTGGTACATGAAATAGTTAAATATAGAAGTAGGATAGTTTGTTTATTTTGGGGCCAGAAATGAAATAAGTCTTGAAAAAGAAGGATTCATTCTGCATTCTGGGCTTGAGTTATTAGCGATTAGAAGCAACGGAAGGATTTTTTCAATATAGAGAGGTCTTTTTATGTTTAAGGTTGGGAGAATAAAAGGGGAGAGAGAAAATATGAGAAAAACATCAGGATAACTCAGAGAGATATTTTAGAACTAGCAAGAAAGAGCCACCTTGGGCAGTGGCAAGGGGCAAGGAAGCATGACACTATAGGATTCTGCCTCTTCTAAGGGTGTTGGGGAGGAAGTTAGATGAGTAGAGAAGATAGATATGACGTGGGAGTCAGGCCTGATTCCCTAGTCCCAAAATGAGAGGCACAGAGGGAGCTTAGATTGGTGGATGAGCAGGGGTCTGGGAGTTTTAGGTGGAGAAATGTCTGGGTTTAGTCAGATCTTAAGGACCCGTAGGGTGATTGACAGTGTTGATGGTATTTCTGGATTGGTAGTGAGAGCAGCATTGACATTTACGCTCTCAAATGTAGGCATGAGGTTGCACATGGGACTAGGTGAAATGGTAAAGCCTAAGTGATGGGGAAGAAACCAGAGGTTTTGTTTTTGTTTTTTAAATATGTGACGTATTTTCTAGTCTGTTGGTTTTTTTGATGCTCTAATGAATGTGTTTCAAAATCCAGCAAACCAGTCTTTTCAAATATCACACATCTACAGAAACTTGCTTTGATTCATTATACTTTGGTTTATTTTAGATGAAAAGTAACATTGAAAACTTGAATTTCTTTTTTTTTTTTTTTTTTAATTTTTTTTTTATTGCAGTAACATTGGTTTATAACATTGTAAAAATTTCAGGTGTACATCATTGTACTTCTATTTCTGCATAGATTACATCATGTTCACCACCAAAATACTAATTACAACCCATCACCACACACATGTACCCAATTATCCCTTTCACCCTTCCCCTCTGGTAACCACCAATCCAATCTCTGTCCCTATGTGTTTGTTTATTGTTGTTATTATCTACTACTTAATGAAGAAAATCATACGGTATTTGACCTTCTCCCTCTGACTTATTTCACTTTGCATCATGCCCTCAATGTCCATCCATGTTGTCACAAATGGCTGGATTTCATCGTTTCTTATGGCTGAGTAGTATTCCATTGTGTATATATACCACAGCTTTTTTATCCATTCGTCCCTTGATGGGCACTTAGGTTGCTTCCAAGTCTTGGCTATCGTGAATAAGGCTGCAATGAACACAGGGGTGCATGTACCTTTGCAAATTGGTGTTTTCAAGTTCTTTGGATAAATACCCAACAGTGGAATAGCTGGATCATATGGTAGTTCTATCGTTGATTTTTTGAGGAATCTCCATACTGTTTTCCATAGTGGCTGCACCAGTTTGCACTCCCACCAGCAGTGTATGAGAGTTCCCTTCTCTCCACAACCTCTCCAACACATGTTGTTTCCTGTCTTGTTAATTATAGCCATTCTGACGGGCGTGAGGTGATATCTCATTGTAGTTTTGATTTGCATTTCCCTGATAGTTAGTGATTTTGAACATCTTTTCATGTGTCTGTTGGCCATCTGTATATCTTCTTTGGAGAAATGTCTGTTCAGGTCTTTTGCCCATTTTTTAATTGGGTTGGTAGTTTTTTTGTTGTTGAGATGCATGAGTTCTTTATATATTTTGGAGATTAAGCCCTTATCAGATGTATGGTTTGCAAATATCTTCTCCCAATTGTTAGGTTGTCTTTTCGTTTTGTTGATGGTTTCCTTTGCTGTGCAGAAGCTTTTTAGTTTGATGTAGTCCCATTTGTTTATTTTTTCTATTGTTTCTCTTGCCCGGTCAGATGTGGTGTTTGAAAAGATGTTGCTAAGACTGATGTCGAAGAGCGTACTGCCTATGTTTTCTTCTAGAACTTTCACAGTTTCAGGTCTTACATTCAAGTCTTTAATCCATTTGGAGTTAATTTTTGTGTATGGTGTAAGGTAAGAGTCTACTTTCATTTTTTTGCATATGGCTATCCAGTTTTCCCAACACCATTTGTTGAAGAGACTTTCTTTTCCCCATTGTATGTTCTTGGCTCCTTTGTCAAAGATTAGCTGTCCATAGATGTGTGGGTTTATTTCTGGGCTTTCGATTCTATTCCATTGATCTGTGTGTCTGTTTTTGTGCCAGTACCATGCTGTTTTGGTTACTATAGCTTTGTAGTATATTTTGAAATCAGGGAGTGTGATACCTCCAGCTTTGTTCTTTTTTCTCAGGATTCCTTTAGCTATTCGGGGTCTTTTGTTGTTCCATATAAATTTTAGGATTTTTTGTTCTATTTCTGTGAAAAATGTTGTTGGAACTTTGATAGGGATTGCATTGAATCTATAGATGGCTTTAGGAAGTATGGACATCTTAACTATGTTAATTCTTCCAATCCAAGAGCACGGAATATCTTTCCATTTCTTTGTGTCTTCTTCAATTTCTTTCAGAAATGTTTTATAGTTGAAAACTTGAATTTCTTTTAATGACAGTTCTCAAGGAAAAAGTAGACAACTTATGGATGAATTATTGTCTCTTTTGTTATACTTAAGAAGTTTTCATGTTTTTCTAGTTTATTGTAGTCTTCCTTGGGCCAAAGAAGACTTTTTTCCTAGACTTTTTGCAACTCATTCTTCCTAGCTGTCTTATCATTATCATACCCATCTCTTTATGTTTTCGGATTTACCAACATCTTTTCTAAGCACCTTAGGCTGGACCGTATACTGTAGTGTGTGGTTATGTTATATATAGCAGAGATTACTGTATTCCATTTACTAGTGATAAGCCTGTTGGAGCTTTCTAAAAAGGTAACTTGCCATGTGCTTACTGACTTGCACAGTGCTTTGATCCATTGATACCTCTAGGTTTGGGTTTGTGCTTTCATAGTGTTAAAAGTGTGCCTTATATTTGAAAATGCTAGTACTAATATGATCACTTTCCATATATGTGGAAATAACTGAAAGATTCAGATATAGTATTAATCTTTTTCACTGTTTGCACATAAAGGCTCTTCCTTGGTTTCTGAATAGCTGCTAATTGCAAAACTTATTTGTGAATCTGTCTTACATTCTACTTGACACTTGCTAAAAAGAGTTCCTCTGTTTCTTATTGCTGCACGCTACATTTTCATGGTTTCTTTGCAATTTATAAGCTGACAGAAATGTTGGAACTACTTTTTGGTGCCCCTACAAAATAGGACAGAACAGTTCAACAGCTGCTTAGTCTGTTATCATTTCTCTTTGTTTCATACCCAGCCCAAGGTGTTGTATTTCAGTAAACATCACTTTGGAGATGGTAGTATGTCTGTATTCCAAAACCTTGTTCATGGTGATTTTACCATTCTATTTTATGTTCCAAATAATGATAGCAAAAGAAGCCATAAGAATGGTTACTAGTACTATTCTGTAACCTGGGAGAAAGAATTATGTATTAGCTAAATAATCATTTACATCATGTTTTTGCACCAAGATTCTCCTTGATTTGCGATTCTCACACAGCACATCTTTCAGGAGTTTATGAAAACTTCCAGTTCCTTATTTTGTCAGTCTGAAATCCCTGGCTCATGTTGCTTTTTCCTCACGAGCCCCTTCTACACAGTTCTTCCAGCTTTATGCTATGAATCTGTAAGATGTTTATGATCTTTTGCACCATGTTTTTTAGTGTATTTTTTGAAAATGTAGCCATTAGCACATTGTACTTCCTGTGTTATTATCAAGGATTTTTTTTTTAAAGGTTACAAACAACAGAAATTTGTTTCTCACAGTTCTGGAGGCTGGAAGTCCAAGATCAGGGTGCCAGCATGGTAGGGTGAGGGCTCTCTTTTGGCTTGCAGACTTCCCATTGTGTCCTCACATAGTGGAAGGGTCAAGGATTTTTAATGTATTTCATAGCCTGTTCAGTTGAAAGTTTCTTAGTTTTAAAATTCTTGTGTTTTCATTTCAAGGATAGATTGAAAATGTAGCAGTGAGGAGTGGATGACTGAGCACCATCAATTCTGATGAGAATTGGTGCTGCTGCCGTTAGTGATCTTAGAACCTTGGTGTACATTTTTAGGACAAGCAAATCTTTTCATATTTGTGAGAACTGAGGTCTAAAGATGGGATAACATTGTTGACATCTTAATGTTTCTTATAGTATTTCTCTACATACTAGGTAGTTAGCATCATGTCTTGTACATAGCAGTGGCCTAAAACCTTATACAATTCTATAAACACGTATTTGGTGATGGTTTGTTGTAGAGGCCAGGAAGATACTGGCTAAGGTATTGTCAAAAGTGTTGAGCTTAAAGATAATTAAATTTTCATTGTTAGTTTGTCTTACCTTTCTTTTGATGTGATTACCTTTTAGAATTTTGTGTTGTTTCGTGATATTTTGTTAATTGAGAGAGAGCCCATTATGAAGTCTGAATACCCCTTTTATCCACTAGTATTTTATTGATTTTTGGAATTTAACCTTTTTTTGTGCTTTTAACTTTAGCATCAGTTTCCTTAAATGTGGGAATGAAATTGATGTTACTGTGTCCTGATTTCTCCTTTATTCCACTAGGTCTTATAGTCATCTTTTGCCAGGATGTCTTTAATCTTTTTTCCAAATAGATTTTTTGTAAAATCTTAGTTTATCCCCTAGTTTATGTACTCTTGATTCTTATTTTTCAATTGCCTATCAATGAATTCTTCCACACACTATTTACTTGTGCATGTGCATGCATGCGCACGCACACACACACACAGATAATCATTCTAGGAGCATTATATGTAGGTTTAGCAAAGGATTAAACATGCCATGGCTTTTTGTCACAATGAACTTTTTGTTTATTTCTAAAATTGGCTTTTTTTTTTTAACAGATAAGTGTAAAGCAGGAAATTACTTTTACTGATGTATCTGAGCAACTGATGAGAGACAAAAAACAAATCAGAGAGCCAGTAGACTTACAGAAAAAGAAGAAACGGAAACAACGTTCTCCTGCAAAAGTAAGAGAATATATTAAGGTGGTGGTCCCTAATCTGTTAATCCCAAACTATTTGGTCAGTCTTAAGGGCAGGAACCTGGCTGGACCGTAAGGCAGACATAGAAGTCTCACGTGGTTTAGTAAAGCTGGAATGTTGTGTCAGCTTCACCTGGAGGAAGGAAGGGATGCACGCCTGCATGGAGGTAGTGGGCCATTGCTTTCAATTTTCCCACTCTTACCATGTCTCTCTTTTCTTTAAAAAACGAACAGATGGTACGCAGTGCCCTTGCTTCTCATTCATATTAGTTCTACTTATTTTAATATTACGGTTTCAGGAAAATGCAATACCAGTTATTCATCAACAAAAGGTTGTGGGATACCTGTACTAGAATATAGTGTCCATGAGGGCAGGGACCTCATTTTATTCACACCTGTTTCTCAAGAGCTTGGAATAGTGAGCATAATAGACCCCCAGTAAATACTTTATGCGAGAATGAATGGCTCAGTATATAAGCAAGTGACCCAGTATTTACTGTTAGGAATTGCCTGCTTTTTTCCCCTTCTTCAGTACAGTGATAGTTGACTATATTGTATTTTGGTATTCCTAGGAAGTCTCTGAACCCTGTGCAGTGTATTTACATCTTTATAGTTATTTTTCATCTTTTGTTTTCTTCCCTCAAATAGTGAAGAAGTCTTTTTTAAAAGATCATATTATGACCTTTTTATTTTGATGGCTACTTGTTTTTGCATTTGCATTATGATGTAAATTGTAATTATTATCATTATTTATATATTTTGTTTACTTTTGAACTCAGTGGTGTCCTGGAGCCAGCTTGTACTGGCTTGCCCAAAGCTAAGTTTTCAGGAATTTTGCAAGCCAGTGCTGAAACCATTGGTAGCTTAAAATTAGCCATGGTGAGAATGTTTATGCTATTGAAATCATCAAACACTTTCCAACCCCCTGATTCTTTAACCTGTTGTTTAACATTTATCAACATCCTACTGCTTTTGGGATATGTAAGTATGCCTACTATAGAAAGTTTTGAAAAATATAGAGACTAAAATAACCCATAATCATATTTCCTAGAGACAACTACCTTAATTTTCTGCCATATTCCCTTTCTATCTTCAAATTTGTGTATAGAGATAGATTGAATTTCCTGATTTTTAACACTTAAAATGTGTGTAAGCTATTTTTACATTTAACGTTATTAAAGGTTTTTATAAAGATTTTATTAGCTGCATGATATATTTTCATATATCACATTATATTAAATGATTGCTATGTGGTGGAGAGTTGTATTCTCTTTGCCTTCATTTTAAATTATGCTGCTCTTAAAATATTTGTATATGGATCTTCGTGCACTATTGAATCAAAAGGCATGAGCTTTTAAAAAGTTTTCTTGATAATGTTTCTCCTTCCAGAAGAGTTGAACCAGTTACATTGCTACCTGTAGTGGACCTAAGCTAAGGTCCACCCTCTCACCAGCCTTGAGTATGAGATTTTGCTTTTTTTGTACCTTAAAATGAGCTTCTGATTATAGTTTAAATTTTAATTTCTTTAGTTACTGGTCATACTAAACTTTTTTTTTTCCCCATAATTATTGGCATTTTGTATTTCATGTTTTGTGAAATCCCTCCCTCCCTCCTTCCTTCTTTTCCTTCCTCCTTCCCTTTCTTTTCTTGGGGTTAAGGTTTTTCTCAGCAATTTAAATGATACTTTTTTGTTTGTTTTTTACATTAACAAATTAAATTACATTCTTGATTTATAAAACAATACCAGGTTTTGTGAAAAAAATTTATTTCAAAAATTGGGATAGTGATTGATTATATTACTTTGGATTCACGCCTGATCTATGGGGAATCTATTTCAAATCTTTAAAAATAACATAATATATGTAAGTTGTACATTTTTCCTGATATTTTATTGCCCTGTTTTTCTGGGACTATTCTTGAGGGTAATGTATTATGAAATTTTGACTAAAAGTCAGATTATTATCTTCTAGTAGGATGTTACTTGGAATCTTTATTTGGTGATATGTTCTAGGTGTTTATTAATACAAGTCACATTTTTACAGGGCTTAAGCTATTTTGCTTGTCTAATTTGAGATAAATTCATTTATAATGTATTATGATATTTCTAAGTATTATTTAAGTATTTCTGTATCTGTGTAGTTGCTAGATGAAAGATTTGGTCTATTCTAAGTATATTGTATATAATAAAACGTTTTTGGGCAGTCTTTTTAGGGAATTCTTAGGAGGCTGAAATGACTAGAAATAATATATGGCAGACAGAGGTTTGAGAATAACGAAAACAATTGTTTTTAAATTGTCCTGACATGTTACGTGTGACGGGACAAGGAATGGTTGTGGACTATTTTTAACACTGGTCTGCACTCCCCAGATGAATAGTTTTTGTGTCTGGAGTCTTAGAACTTTGAAGCATGACCAAAGAGTTATTTTGGATTTTCTTGGACATGTGTTTAAAAATTCACACTTCAGATTTTTCATTAAAGTAACTCTTTCTGCCCTTTTGTATGAAGAGAAAGAAAAGCTTATCTCACGCTTGTAAATCAGTGTATTGCTTGTTTTAAATTCCTTAAAAACAACTTTAAGTTTCTCAAAGAATTATAATTTATTATGCTTAGAGGACTCCACTCTCCCCCCAACACCTTTCCCAAATTTTGAATTTTGCCATTATGAGTATTTTGAGTATGTGTCACCATTGTGTCAGATTGGGGATCTGTACAGGAAATATAACTAAAGTAATGTGATAGACTTTTAGTAAAAATATCAAAGCTTATACGTCTATATAAATGGGGTTTCCTTCAGTAAGCTTTGTGGTGAGAAGTACTGTATTGTTGTCATCTTTAGCTGCCATGGATTTTAAGCAATAACTGCTTTTTGAGCCTTTGTCATATGGCAAAGCCTAGTCATCTTAAAGTAGATTTGATACGTGAAAATTGCCGAACACATTTGGCAACACGTCTGAAGAAGACGAGGGTAATCAAGCAAGGGAATGTTTATCTAGGTCAAGTTATTTGATGCTATCATGGACTAAGCTGTTTTATGAAAGTAAATTTTCTACATAATAAAAGCTTGTCCCTTTTATTTTTATTTATTTATTTATTTTGTGAGGAGATCAGCCCTCTGCTAACATCCACCAATCCTCCTCTTTTTTCGCTGAGGAAGACTGGCCCTGGGCTAACATCCGTGCCCATCTTCCTCCACTTTATATGGTACGCCGCCATGGCATGGCTTGCCAAGCAGTGCGTCGGTGAGTGCCCGGGATCCCAACTTGCGAACTCCGGGCCGCTGCAGTGGAGTGTGCGCACTTAACGGCTTGTGCCACCGGGCCAACCCCAAAGCTTGTCCCTTTTAAATGTCAAATTTTATTTTATTTTAACTGCTTTGTTGGAAACCTTTAATGTGTTGTTTTCTTTTAAAATATATTACATTTGAACATGATTCAGCTTTTAATGTCTTGGGGTTGATGTTGTGAACATTAAAGAAAAATCATATGTATTGTAATTAAGCCCTCTAGGAGGAGTGAGATATTAGGGCTTTTTTTCTCCTTCACCCTGAAAACTCCTGACTGCTAGCTAGACTTAACTGCTTATAATTGCTTCACTGTCTCCTTCCTTAATGACGTGCTGTTCATTTTTACATTGCTATACCTAAGTAGCCACTTAATATTGCGTTCCATTGTCCCTTTGAATTTTTTGTTTTGTTGTGGATTAGGACTATAGAGAACTAAAGTTATTAGCAATGTATGAAAAGTCTTAGTAGGCTTAATTCAGTGTCAGTGCATTCTTGTCGGTGGTTCCCCTCCTTGCTCTGCGTTAGTCATCTATAGGGCTTTTCCAGTTATAAATGCCCAGGCCCCATCCCTTGAGATTGTTATTCAGGGGATTTCTATTTATACTTTAAAAGTGTCCGAGGTGATTGTGATTTACGTTTAAGCTTGAGAATCTCAGGTCTTGATACTAGAAGTTTCTGGATGATAAAGGAGGCATTACCGCCTAACTTTACTGTTGATTTGTTGTGTGAATGAGGAGATAACGTTTTCCACACAGAAGTGTTTTATGAAGATTGTTAACATTGATGATCTCTAAGAATGCTTTTCAGTAAAATATAGCAATATTATCTTAATCCAGTATTGTATACATTTTATAGGTCTTTTCAAACTCCGTAGTAATTAAATGAGGTAGAGCAGGGTATTTTTAATTACTTCTTATTCTGAAATGTATTTCCTTTTTCATTCTCTCAGCACACAATTTGAGTGCCTTGTTATGTGCCAGGATCTGTTATCAGGTGCTGAAGAAAGGAACTGGGTTTGTTTGCTATAACACTTCAGGTGGTCTGAGTAGAAATTGATTATTCAGAGTTATGCTAGACTCAGGAAGGAAGAGCATATTCCACAAATCGAATTGATTATACATTATATAGAGAATCCTTTCCCAGCAATTTATTATACACCATTGGTTCCCAGAAAAGATTTTAAATTAAATGATCTGAGGAAAATTTAATTAAAAGGAGCAGAGAAATAGATATACCAGACATTTGTCATACTTTCTCCTACATGTTAACTTGATTGTGGAAGATGTGGCTTTGAAGATGAATAACTGATTGTAAGACCAGGGATAGAAATATGGAATACTACTTAATAGTACTTAATGAAGAAAAAAATTAGTAAAAGAATGTTTTAGTTTATCTATCTAATTTTCCAGGGAATTATGTATTCTGGGTAAATAATTTTTCCACAGAACCGAATCCTAACTTTAAAAAATATTTTGATGTAAATCTTTCTTTAAAAAACATCACATACTTCTTTGCCTAATATTTAGGAGACATAAGAGAAATAACCTTTTCTAAAACTCAAGATTATTATGCTGAACATCAGTTATTGTACCATGCTTATGATACAGTGAATTTCATGTTCTGGCACTGTCAAAACCTTGCCATTTAAAAATGAAGTTTGGTAATATGTAAAATCTGGTAGTGAGAGACAATAAAAATCCTGAAGGATGACAGAAAGTGACAGTGTGAGGGTGGGACACTAGAGACAAGGAGGATATCAAGATGTGGTAGTGGTGATCGCTCTTGGCAACTTTGTTATTTTGTTGTGCGTCTTTGGAGTTACACTATTGTTGCATTTCTAATTGGATTTGGAGAGTGAAGAGAATTTTAGAAGATGTCACTTCCCACTCCCAGTTGCAATAAAACTACTCATAATAGGTGAGAAATTTAAACTATCTCCTCTAAATTGTCTTTGGGTTTTGGTGGTTTAGAAGTTGATTTAGATTGATTTAAGAATGTATGATAAAATGTGTAATCATTAGTTTAAAATATTTAAAATAATTTCAGTAGTACATAGTAGGCATAGTGTACATAGTATAGAAAATCATGTCTGCCTTTTAAGAGAGCAAAACACTTTCTCACTGAGGGGTGTCAGGTTTCAGTTATTAAGTGGCGGTGACCCTTGAGGACTGAAAATCTCTGAATGGAATAGGCAGAGCTTGGTGCTTTGCTGGATGAAAATTGGTGTATTATTTAAGATAACCATCACCATATATATAGATGGATAGCTGGGGACAAATTTGGCTCAGAACAAAAAATATGTCTACTAACGGACCATGAGTTTAAGAAAGCAGATTAATTGAGGAGTTCCATTTGATATGGAAATTTTTTACTGAAAAATTCTGTTTTAAATTTATTAAACAGTTAAGAAAAAAATCAAATACGCTGAGTATTATTTAGACGGTTACTGATTTCTCCACTTTTGATAAAGCCTGATTGCTTGGTCTTTATAATACACCATATTTCTCTGAAAGTAGCAGTGACAGGAGGCAAGATAAATCATATGGAAATATTATAGCAGGCACCTTAGGATTTAAACTTTGAAATTTCAAATTCTTTAGTTGTAATGCTTTCGTATGTTGAAGGGAAAAAGAAAAGCAAAAATATTTTATGGTACTAGTAGCAGGTAAGACTGCTAATCTCTAAGACAAGCACACTTAACGGGTAGATCACATTCTACTGAAAGATCTTGAAAGAGTGTGAACAAGAAAAGAAGCCCAGTCTATAGCAAGGAAGAAAATTTTGCCTGCATTAATGTGCCATTTATGTTCCACTAAGGGACTTTGTTCTTTGCATGTCCACATCTCTATGGCACTACTTAGTGACTTTGAAAAATTGAAAAGTATCACTTTTTGCAAAAATTTTTAAAAAGAATAAAGCGGTAAGTTGTGAGGATGTTTGGTATGGATAGCAGGCAGCCACATCAATAAGCATTTATAGGGTCTCACTGCGTTCCAGACACCGTTTTGAATACTGGGGTTATAGTAGTGAATAAAACAGACAAAGTCAGGTGCTTATATTTAAAGCAGATTACAAATTGGAAGAGCCACTGGTGCTCTTCTGAGGCAAGATGAATTTTACTCTGTCCTTTATACAAAGATGTTTGTTACTCTTGCCTGAAAAAGAAAAATATAAAATGTCTAACAATTTGATTTTTCTGTCTTTGAACTTATAAATATGCTAGATTTATCAGTCTCCTTATTCACAAGTCAGTGTTAGCTGTTTCATCCATAAAATCCACCTTGAATTAAGGCTTGAATCCACAATGAAAGGCAGCATTACCTCCAGTGCCAGAAAACAATGACCTAGAACTCCTTAACTCTTCATAAAAGGGCTTTTTACAGTCAAGGATTACATCCGTTTCACATGAAGTAACTTGGGCCAGATTTGCTCTTACAAAGCCTTTCTTTGCAGTTGCTATGCCACAGAAAGCTATTGAGCTGCCATGTTTTTTGGCACTTGGATCTTCTTATTTGTTATCAACATAGTGAAAAAATACCTGGTGCTATCTTGCTTTTAGTTCTGTTTTATATAAAATGTTTAATATCTTTTCGTTATTTGTTTTATGTTAGAATACTATGAATCATATTTTAAAAGATTTTTTGTTTTTTCATTTTGTACAGTGTTAACTTGAATACTATTTTGTGACTTAGAGGGGCTGAAAAAATCTTAAACTGACTGGCCAGAGATGAAACTTTCCATTCTCACTGACTGTCTTCAGGAAGCTGTGACACCCACTTCCATTCTCCTGCCAAATGTTTCCCTCTATGACTTTGGTGCATAGACTTTGAAGCATTGTTGACCACCTTGGCAGTTTGCCCAGAACCCAAATGCCCTGTATAATTTGCATAATAATTACCATTGATTTACATACAGTATAGACTGACTTGTCTTCCTGAATTCAAAGTAAAAAAATATTTTAAAAAATTAAAGCCTTTTTTTCTTACCTACTCCCCTTTTCTAGGTTTGAGAAGGGGTCGTAGCTGTGTATTTACAGGCCCTAATCAGTTTCCACAAGTGTTTGTATTTCTTAAGATGTTTCCCAGATTGCTCTCCCCTGTGTGGGACACAATTTCTTAGCTCCTACTCCATATGCCCCCTGCCTCCAATACTATTTCCCTCTCACCTGCCATGCTCCCCCTGATCCTATCTCCTAGTTTTGTTTCTTATTGTCACATCATATTTTGCCATTTTTATTCTCTTCTCAATTGAAAAAAGGGATCATTTATTATTTTTACTCTGCCACAAATCTGATGAGAGAGGCAGTTTAATGTTGCATGTTGAACACATGGTTGATAAATTGGAACACATGAAGCTCAGAGGTGACCTTCTCTCTGGCACTGTCCAGACCAGGCCCACAATATTCTCAACCTCTAGAAGCGCAGGGTGGCCTGGCCCCGTGGCGTAGCGGTTAAGTGTGTGCACTCTGCTGCTGGCGTCCCGAGTTCAGATCCCTGGCGCACACCGATGCACTGCTTGTCAGGCCATGCTGTGGTGGCGTCCCACATAAAGTGGAGGAAGATGGGCACAGATGTTAGCTCAGGGTCAGTCTTCCTCAGCAAAAAGAGGAGAATTGGCATCAGATGATAGCTCAGGGCTGATCTTCCTCACAAAAAAAAAAGAAGAAAAAAGCCTATTTGCTTCAAAATACTATAAAAATAAATAAAGGCAAGAAGCCCAGGAAAATAAGGTTGATTTCTTTGTCACCTATCTTCCTCTTCCTTCCCCAAACCTACTCTAATTTATTTATCTAACAAATATATTTAGGAATATGCTTAACAGTAGTTTAGTAGTCCTAGAATGGCCTTAGAGATTCTGGACTGAACTAGACTCCAAATGCTATCCTAGAATGACTTGAAAACGTGGTTTTCTCTTTTTCTCTTCTTTAAAAAAAATAAAAGGAAAATGTACTAGGTAAGCATTTATATGGTTCAGAAAAATGTTTTTAAGTATGCACAGTGTAAAGTCTCCCTCCCACCTTGTCTCCTATCTGCCAGGATCCCCAGGCATCACAATCGAGGTTATCCACATTTTATGTATATCCTTCTCAAATAGTTTTTATATATATACAACCAAATATATATTCCTGTATGTACTCTCTTGTATACAAAAATTAGCAAAATTATATACTGGATTCTAAAACTTGTTTTTTTTGCTTAGTAAGTTCTGGAGCTCTTTCCATATAAGTATATAGAGAGCTTTCTCGTTTTATTTTACAACCACATAATATTAAATTGTATTCATTTTCCATGATTTATTTAAGCAATCCTATACTGATTTATATTTACTCATGTCTAAAACATAAGACTTTTGTCTTAGGTGTGTGAGAATTTGAGATTGAAAATAAAGCTGTCCCCACTCAAGCAGAGAACACTTAGGGACTCTGTTAGACATCAGCTTTGAAGAGGAGGGAGGAGAGTGCTGAGATCTTACTTAGCCAGCTTCCAGACTTGTATTAGTGATTTTTTACCCATTCTGAGTCACATTGTACTTTCCTACAATTAATAATAACATTATTCTAATAGCCTTTTCAAGATTATTTAGGAAAAAATATTTCGTGATCTCTGGTGACCATTATTTGCATTAAAAGGCATTATCTTTTTTATAAATTAGTATTACATTTTTAAAACTTCTTTCTTTTGTTTTTGCTTTTTTTTTTTAACTAGATCCTTACAATAAATGAGGATGGATCACTTGGTTTGAAAACCCCTAAATCTCACGTTTGTGAGCACTGCAATGCTGCCTTTAGAACGAACTATCACTTACAGAGACATGTCTTCATTCATACAGGTATTTCTAATTAAAATGGGCTTATGGCCATTAAAATTATTTTCTTTGCTATTTCATCTTCGTGTAAATGTCATTCATTCCTAAGACGGTAGCTAACCTGGCATTTCATATCAGAGATTTCATAGGCCAGGATGTCAGAAGGAAACCAGAAAAAACTTGAAATGAGAAAACAGCATGGATGTGCAAAATTAATTAGTCTTAATTGGACACTTGGCTTAATGTGTTCTTTTAAGCTAGAGAAACATTTAAAGAATGTGCTATTAAAAGCCTGTCAACGTTTATTTTTCTATGCAGGACATCCAGATGGAGTTTGAACTATGAATTTGGGAATCAAATATAAAAAGTGATAGTTAAGAACATGAAGTTGTAGAGAGCAGAACTTAAGACTGATCATAGATCTTTGGGGAAACAGACTAGACACATAGGTTGAATTAAGGGATAGGAGTAGGGGACAGAGTAATAAGGTAGGTTTAATGAACTAGGAGAATGGTGGCCCAGAAGCTAAAAGAAATGAAAATTCTGAGGAGGCTGTGAACGACAATGGCACAACCTTCAGAGAGGGATAGAGAACTGAGAGAAAACTGTTAGAATAAACAGCAAGGAGATCATGGGTACCTTTTAAGAAAGCAGAGTATAGGAGTTAAATAAAGCACAAGGGAGTGGTGAAGAGTTTGAGCCATGGGGTAGACTCCTCTTTTAAGAAGGTGTGGTAAAAAGGAAGGAGAGAAAGTACTACGGTAGGAGTGTTTCAGGATTTCTGGAAAGTTTCTTTGTGTACAGCAGACCAAAGAATACTTTCCTTAAAAGGAAAGGCTCCAGCAGAGAGGGAATGTTTAAGAGACAGGATTTTTTTAAAATGATGTTTAGAAAGTTCTGAAGGTTCTGAAGAAAATAAGAGAAAGGACATAAAGTGATGGTTAGCCAAGGAGAACAAGGTGGGTGCATCTTCCTCCAGATGAAAGGAAGAAGGAAGAGATGTTTAAGACACACTAGATAACCTGTGGAGTCCTTTCTAGCCTCATGATTTTTGAATTCTATTTTAAATTGTTTTATTTCTTTATTTTCCTTGAAGGATATTGATCAGATTTAATCTCGTTTTTGTGTGATTATGAGAATATGAATTTTAAAATCTTGGGGAAAAAATTGAGAGGAAATAAAATTCTGTTAAGTTAATGTATAGTATAAAAAATTTGTATGGATAATTTGGAATTTCCAGAATTTGGGCTTCTTGGATTTCTTTCCTCAGAAATAGTAACTATAAACTGTGTTTTATCCAGTAACTAATTTGTGGATGTGAAATTATTTTAAGGCGAAAAACCATTTCAATGTAGTCAATGTGACATGCGTTTCATACAGAAGTACCTGCTACAGAGACATGAGAAGATTCATACTGGTGAGTGTTGCCACCCTTACTAGGGTCATTAAAATTACTATTTCAAATATAGGGAAGAATTTTTAATAAATAGCAACTGCCTGTTGCCACTTTCATCAGTTTTGTTTCTTAAGAGTATATATCACAGCTCATCTTTTTCCTTCTTCAATAAATCAGTGTTAACTGTTAAGACTTGGCTTTAATGTCCAAGCCCAATAAATTACTTTGAAATGGAGTCTCATAATAACTTAAAATATGTTTAAAGTGCAAAAGGAAGTTTTTGTGAAATAACTGTTTCTTTAGATGTTAAACAAGTTTGAGTAGGTAAAATTCTCGTTCACATTGATTGGTCTGGGGGAGAAAGCAAAATGCCGGGCCCTAAGATAGCGATACCACTCTTCTTTTTCCTTATTTGATATATATAGTTTAATATATCAAGAGAGTTGTAATCTTAATAAGTTGGAAATTTCCAGTTTTTCAGTCAAGTTGTTAATGATTTAGAAACAAATATTTCGGAAGATCACTATAAAGGAACCTATACCTTAAGAAGTTGTCTCATTTTACAGAGAACATTTATTTTAGTTTTTGGCAAATGTAAAACCCAATTTTATATGTAACCTTGATTTAGTAGACTGTCGACGTTTGACTTTTTATGTCTCTAAGCATCGTGAAAAGTGTTTTTTTTAGAATTTCTTTCCAGTGTTTTGCCTTTTTGTGATGGAAAAAAGCAGAGGTGGTGAATTTGCTTAACTTTCTTACATTTAAATAGAATCGAGGATGATGGTGATAATTTATTATATGAATATTAAAAATATAAATGTTCTTCATATTTCTCTATTTAAGTACTCAAGCAAATACCTCTCCAGTGTTGTTATTTAGATGTTCTCATGATACCTGCAGTACCTGCGAAAGGGAGTCCCTGGACAGTTTGTAATTTAGAGGAAGCAACCTTCTCTGCCTAATAACTTTCCTAAACTTTGTTTCCCCGAACAAAGAAGCATGAATGTGGCTGGTCTCTTTAAATAAAACTTCAACTGTGCAGCACATCTGTATGCTTTGATGTTTTCCTTTTCAAAGATCATTATGCACACCACTCATTAAGTAAACCTTCATTCATCACTTCCAGATGGGAAGAAGTATACTAGGCGCTTTGGGAGAAAGAACAGCTTTATTGATTTTATGTGACTTATAGCTAAATTTAAATTTCTATACAATAATAAAACCTGATCAGATAATGATAAATGAAAGCAGTTAAGTTTATTTTTGTGTGTTTTTAACCTATTAGATTTTGATGATTTATTCATTAGTTCAACAAAAATTTACTGAGCCATGAGTGTTTTTCAGGGACCAGAAATACAGAGATAATGTAAGACAATTTCCTTGGAGTTTACATTCTAATGGGAGAGACACATATATAAACAAGCACAGTGTAATAAGTGTTGTTGAATTTCATACAAAATGCTGTTGTACGCTGAGAAAGAGCCAGATGTGCTGTCTGTTGAAGGTCACATAGGGAAGGCAACACAGAAACTACAGGAGGCTCAATTAAGAGTATGTGTGTGTGTATCTGAAAAAAAGATTTTCAAAACAATACTTAACCTTATTGCACTCTGCTATTTTCTAGTCTGTTCTAGTAAATTCTTTTTTAAAGTGCTGATCACAATCCTGTGATCTCACTGTTTGGAAAAAGAACCACACTAGGCCATGGGCTATCTTGGATTTAAACAGGTTATAATGGGTAGTTAACATTTATTGAGAAGTCACTAAGACCAGATATTGTGCTAAATGTTTTTTTAAATATCCCATTTAGTCCTCACATTAATCTTGAAAGAACGGAGCTATTAGTATCCCCAATTTTTAGATGAGGAAGTAGTAGGAAGCACACAAAAGGTAAGAAACCTTTCTGAATTTTATAATCTACTATATGGTGGAGCCAAGATTTCAGCTCAGGTCTCTGTGACTCCAGTACACGTGTGAAATCACTGACTATGCAGAATGGGACCAGAAGCTGAACAATGTCTTTTGGCCTTTTTGAGTTTTTCTTGCTCTGCCACTAAGCCAGTTATGGCTAAGCCTTCCCATGGGTTTAGTAACATCCAAAAGGGGTGGAAGCAAAGACTGGAGTTCTCATGTTATAGAGAATACATTTACAAGAAGATAAGGAATTGAGAGGAATCAGGACAAACCAGTCACTATGATTCCTTAACAGATGAAAGTTTCTTTTCAAGAGAGACTCAGTTTCGCCGCATTGTCTCCCTCACTCCCACCCTCCATGTGGAACTGTTATAGGGGAATAGATTTTCCTTCTTTACTTCATTTTCTTGATAGTTTTTATAGACTCTCTCTGGAGACAGTAAGATTTTTATCTTGTAATCATTATACCTATAAGCTATACTTATCTGGGAAAATATATTTAGAACCACAAATATATTCTCCATCATTTATTATTCTGTCCTTACTGTTCTTTTTTTCATGTTTTAAATCACTTTTATTTTTGCAGGGGGTTAGTGCCTTAAAGTTTGTCCAAGTCAAGGCTTTCTCTCTCTGTAGGCTCTTAGTTTAGAAGAATGCATTGAAATATTTATGGCAGTAAAAAAGATTTTGCATATGTTGGTCCATTTTTAAATTGTTGAGAAGGTAATGAGTCACCTATCAACTGATCCTCAAAGGTTGTGTGGTGAGAACTACCAGTTCTTACAGGCTCTGTTTTCCTTTTAGCCTCCCTCATCCTTCTAGGTCTCATTGTACTGTCTCCTCCAGTCTCCCAGCCCCCAAGCCCGTTCTCTGCTCCATTTGCAGTATGGTTAAAAATCATTACCTGGTTGGTTGCTCTTGCCACCAATAAAGAAATCTTCTGTGGCTTTTAAAAACCAAGAACCTAGCTTGATTTGGTTTTCAAATAGAAAAATTTTAAGCTCAGCTAGACAGGCTGTGACTTAATCCTGTTTCCTGAATTTGCACTAGCCTATGAAATACCATTTTAGTGAGGAGTAGTTTTTCATCCAGAGGCTGATCCCTGAAATTCTGGTTAAAGCTTTATTCCTTTAGCCTAAGCCATTGAAAACTGTGAAAATGCAAATATCCTTGGGACTACTATTTTTGTCAATTATGGGAGATTTATATCTTTTTTGTGAATGTGTTGTGGATCCTTTACTTATGGTATGCTTGAGGATATTGGAGAGAAGGTGAGGACTTGACACCAAGGTCGAAGATGATAATCCTAATTGATCATTTTGTTTAGGTCAGAATTACTGCTCAGTTACATTCCAAGGTTAAACATTGGTCGTCATGGTAAATCGGCACATTTACTGTGTGATCAGGTGATTTTATCTAAGGTGCCTTTTCTTTTGCATTTTCAAATGCATGTATAGAATAAATGTTAGAATGACATATATCCAGTTGTGTTCTTTTCTAGTCACCGTGTCACCCCTTACTCTAAGGAAATGTCAGTCTTATTGCCATGGTGGGTGGGTGGGAGTGGTGTGGACTTGAACATAAGTACAATTTTCAATATTTTATTTTAATTTTATAACAATTTTCTAAATTCCTTTAAATCATAAGCCACAGGATACCTATCCTGATATTATGACTGTTATAGCAAATTATGGTTGCTTTTTATAGTTGTGGTAGTTTTCATAATTTATTTTTCATTTCAAATGGTTTTCCTCCCAAAAATAAAAGAGATTTTGAAAATAAACTAAATCATTAAGAATTATGCATATTCATTAGGTTTCTTTTTCCCTAATGTTCTTTTTTAATTTAAAGCTTTAGTTCTTGAATATATACAGTTCTATAGATACAAATGTAGTAAGAAACACTGGAAAACCTGTCTTCTAAGCTAGCATTCGTCACGCCTGAAAACATATGTTGATCTTCTTTTCTTCTTGACCGTGACTTTTGTTCACAAGCATATTAAATAGCTGAATAATAGCATTATTATTTTTTTAAACCAGTTGGGCTAGTGGGGTGGAGTCAGAGAGAATGTTGATTCACCCTTGACTAAGTTATAGCTCAACATTCGTATTTCCTTCAGTGTGGCTCAGTTATTAATAAAAATTTCAGTTTTCCTCTCATTATTTTGAAGCCCTAATTTATAGTTTATTAGGTATAATAGAGAAATCTTATGAAAAGAAAATGTTACAGACCTAGTTAGAGTTTAACTCTTATTTGTGAAGATGAAGGAGCTGAGTTGTGTTTGTGCTCCTGAGCATGTTGTCTGCACTGTGAGCTCCTGGCATTATGATTGCTGAAGCCAGACAGCACTAGCATGGACAGAGCTTACCAAGAAGGATTAAGCAGGGAAGTACAGATTGCTGTGACTGACATTCTCTGGTTTAACAAAGCTTTCAGAAACCAGATTTTTTTTTCCTCTGCAAAACTGTTAATAATTCACACTAAAAGATTTGATAACATGTATAAAAGCTTAACACTATCTAACAAAACATCTCAGTAAAGATCTAAAGAAATCATACACACACACACACACACACACACGTACCTACATGTATATAAAAACGTATACCATACTTTTTAAAGGTTTTTTGTTTTGGGGCGATAGGAGAAGTCATCAAGAAAATTAACTCCATTTTAACATTATGTCTTAGAACTGAAATATGGAGAATCAGAGGCTTTATAATGAAAATTGCCTAGTTTTCAATTAGGTCTATATATTTTGTGTGTATGTGAGTATCCCTCCCCCTCACATCTACATAAAATGTTCTTTGTTAGTTTATAGTGTCTATAGTAAAAAAAAAAATTGCTTACCATTTGTTTTGACAAGTCTCTTGTTTAACAAATTGGAAATCTCTTGAAGTTGTCTCATTCTTATTGATGCATAATCATTGAATGAACATATAAATCGTGTGACTCACAATTTGACGAATCCTATTGCAAGTGGTACAAGCTGCGCTGTGGAAGTGCAGATGAAATAGACCAGTAAGGATCAGATTGGTGGCCTCATGGAAGAGGTGGAACTTAAATGGCCCTGTGAGTTAGATTTAGACTTTGTAGTCCATGTGTTA